GCACAAGCAGCACAAGCAGCAAGCAGCACAAGCAGCACAAGCAGCACAAGCAGCAAGCAGCAACACCAAGCAGCAGCAGCACAAGCAGCAAGCAGCAACACCAGCAGCAAGCAGCAACACCAAGCAGCAGCAGCAGCAGCAACACCAAGCAGCACAAGCAGCAAGCAGCCAGCAGCAAGCAGCAAGCAGCAAGCAGCCAGCAGCCAGCAGCAGCAGCAGCACGTGTTGCTGTTCATGCACCGTGCTTGTGATCCCGCTGTATGCCAGTGGATACCTTACTCAGCGACTACCTGGAAACATCGTAGCTGACACCGAAACCGGGACTCCCCATGTGGTTTGCGACACTGTGTCTATACCTAACCAACCTTTCGTCCACCCCCCCTGTAGTGCTTGGCAGCTGTTTTTGCATGTTTGTCTTCTCTGACCTTCTTGATAGCAGAAACAACCAAGCTCATTGCAATTGCAATCCACCAGCTTCACTAGCTGAGGACGGATGGCAGCTCGGCATGTGTTTGGTGCTACTAAGTAGTCAAGCAGATTGTAGGCGAGAGTCTAGATTTGTTTGAATAGTGTTCTTATGTTTGTATATTATGTTTGAATCCTTTATATTCAAGCTTTTTTGCTGACTGCTGGCAAGCTACAAGCACATTTTGATAGCTCAATTACATTGATTCACTCATGGGAGACACAGTGGTGTCAGGAACAGTGACCAGGGAATGTCAGAATCGTGTTGAGCAATTGGCGTCGCTTTGAAAGATTTCACTGAGAACTCGCACAATGGTTAAGCGAAGTCCACCAAAAGTGGGATCCGCACGTCAATGGAACTGGCAGATTGCTCACACGCCCCTTTTTGATGGTGGCAGGTGTGATTCATGATGTTCCATTGAAGTCCATCAAAGACCTGTGCCACATCCTCAGCTTCGTATCTTGCATAAAACTGAGTTCAGAGCCATCGCAGAACACAAACAAGGACATAAAAAGGTATAATTAATAATATTTAGGTATACTATATATTATATAGTAGTTTTTCAAAGTGTAAGGAGGTCCATTCATCAGTTTGCACCAGTTGTTTTGTGGCAAGTCTCATGTTGGATGCAAACTCACCAGGGCCAATGCAGGAGGCAAACAGCAAGACAAACGGAGAGATGGACTTGGTGTTCTAGTAACAAGAAGCTATTAAATGGGGGCTCCTGGCATCGCTACTAGGAGCAAGGACGCTTCTAAGGGCTCCTAGCCGTACTACTAGGAGCAAGTAGCTACTAGTAACAAGAAGCTTTCGCCCAGGTCCAGGCAAGACGATTCAAACGAGGCATACGCCGGTGGATTTGGCTCCCTGGCTGAGAGAGAGAACAGGCCTCGCTTGGAGTACGTCCCCGAAAATATGGAGTGGACATGAGTGGACACAAACTGATTGACTGCTTTGACCCAATTCTGGAGGTTCTTTGGGTGATTGCAATGAATGTGAGCGCTTAGGATGACATGTGTGCTACACTGGTGCTGCGGAACAACGAATGACTCGGTCTCAGAGAAGAAACGTCTAGGGCAGTATTGGTGCTTTGGATAGAGAACCTTTGACTTAAAGTGTTGAAGAGAGAGAGAGAGAGAGAGATAGAGAGAGAGAGAGAGCAAGGAAAGACAAAGAGCAAGCTGTCAACATGAGCAGGTAAATTGAATTCGCCGGCCTCGGTCCATTTCAAGACACTTAAGGAAACATAAATCAAAACACAGGCGGCTTCATTGCTTTTCAACTTGCATTGCACAATTATGCAGTCAGTGGCTTAAGAGATTTGAGGACAAACACTTTATGCAGGTAGGTGTATGCTACGGGATACTCGCTTTGAACGAGAACCCGCTAAGTGATGTCCCGTTAAAGTTCTTGCTGGCCAGCCAGGGTTTGCGCTTTCCAACAAAACAAAGCTAGATTACCTAGATCGTCAAACTTCCGTCTACTTGTCATATCTTGTCATATGGAACTTGGGTATACGCAAAAACCTGAATAGCGTAAGGTTGCGTAAGGGAGTTGTGAGACATGCATGTTGCGTAAGCTTTGCATAGGGCTCTATAGTCTATGTTTCCGCATGTGTTTGTTACCCGCACACCTGCAAAAAGACCATCGCGTAACATTTGCCCTGGGGGTATGGTGCTCATGTGTGTGTTCAACACAGATAGGGGTAAGATCTGTGTAAGGTCTTCTGGGTGGTGGTCGCGGACATACATATTTTATCGTATTTTGCAGAGCTCAAAAATTATTGTGGAAGCACGCCCAATGGCTTCAGAAAGAGCATAGCATGTTTGTGGCTGCCAACGAATGTCAGAAAGAAGCTGCCTAAATTGCATGCACAATCAGCAAACATCATGGTGTAACCTATAACCCAAAGTATGCTGAATCCAGAAGGAACGCAGAGCTCTTCCAAGTTATTGATCACATACCAAAAAAGTATCCTGTGATTTTGTTCGATTTTGTCATCGGAGGAGTTCTCCAGGTGGAAGACAGCGGAGTGGAATCACTTCAAGAGCCAACCTGCTACACTCTTCCCGATATACGTTTGTGCATTTGGGACTAGTGACTAGTCCTTAACATGTTCAGCTTTGGTGCGGTATTTCCTGGGGAATAATTAGCAGGAGAAAACGGTTTCGATTTTCACAATGGCCCAACATGCATCGAACAACTGCTAACCTGTCCGATGCCAATGTTTCCTCGGGCTTTGGAAAAATATCAAGCTTTCTGAGATTCGGTAAAGGGATGTAAAGGGACATGTTCGCATTGTCCGCACAAACATGTCCACCAAGACACCAAAGCAAGAGCAGTCACAGGCCATGTTAATTCTCCCTGTCGTCCGAATCTGCGGTGATCCATGCATGCGTGTCGTTTACAACAACTGTTGAATCGCCAACGTGTCCTGTTCAGGGATTTGATCTTCCAGGTCAACTAACCAAAAAGCCTTTAGGGGATACGGAGAGAGAGTATACAAGAGCGGTGCTTGTCGATGGTAGTTACGCATCGGTAAGTATGCGGGTATCAATCCATTTGAGCTGCCCACAGCCTTTGACGTCATCCACTTGGCATACGGCATATTGCCCTTACACCGGGCAAAAGGCTCTCAACAGCAACTGCAGACGGTCTCAGTTGGCCCTGTTGACCTACCAGAAATTGGCTGTTTCGAGAGTGGCTGAGCAGATGCCGAAACAGTGCGCAATCCTTCCCAATGAATACGTCGATGAGCTTTGTTACAACCGTGCCGAAGTTCTAAGACCCTGGAGAAATGCTTCCAAAATTTGCTTTGCGGACGATGGAATTCTTAATCTCAAACACTGGAAATTAGTTACTGAGCACCTTGATTCCACAAGGCTGCCAACAAAGCTTCTCCTCTGGGTCAAACTTCACTTTTGAGGCGACGAACTTCCTTCAGGCATCTCAAGCAAAACTTTTCAGTTCCAAAGTGAGCTGATTGTGCTGGGAGGCACTTGTTTCGGCACCCCTTTCGGTATGTGGACGGAACCCAAACTACGAAGCCTTGACATGTTTTGACTGTTCGGGCCTACCAATTGCAACCACTTCATTCCTCAGGTGTGACGTTTCGCTTGAACAGCATTCGAGAACGCGACGAGTTTATCCGGTGCGTCGGGATTCTCTGTACTTTGGGCCATGAAGCAACATGATGTGCGATGGATGAAGTTCCTGCATGTTTACTGCAGCTCATAGGATGTTTACTGCATAGTATGTGTTACTTTTTTGAGATGTTGTTTGTCAGTTCTTCCCTTTGTTTTGTCCAGGTTTCATTGCTCAGGCGAGTTCTTTGGAAACGGCTTTCCTTTGTAGGGAATCACAAGAATGAGATGTGTTTGATGTTTTCTCACCGCATGGTTTTTGTGCTAGAATCATTGTTTCAATCCAAGATCATCAAATGCTCCATTTTCCAGCAGAGTCACGTGACTTAGGTGAAAGTTCTTGCGCTGGCATTGGACTGAGATGTACAAAAAGACATCAGTAGCTCCGCCAATCGGCGTTGCTGTGACTGATTAAAAGGGTCACAGAAACCCGCTGTGCTTCAGACTTGAGATGTGCTTCAAGTTTCCACAAAAATAGGAACCAATGACATGAATAGTGTGAGCACTTCTTCAAGGAATCTCCCCCGCCCTCAGAAGCGTGAGCCACGACGTCAGGTAGTAGTCGCAGTAGTAGCTACTCAAGCTTAGTAGCTACCTCACGGTTTGATCATTCAATTTTGAATTTTTGTTTGGGACAAACATGATCAAACAACACACTGGTGCGTGGCCTCATTCAGTCCATCCTAAGACTGTTGCTGAATGCGAGATAGATCCGCCAGGATGCTGTCGGTGTCCATGAACATCCACTTTGTTGAGGTTAATGGGAGCAAAGCTGATCAACCACATTGCTTTTGCGGGACTTCTATTTCCCAGTTGTTGGCAGTGTTGTTGCTTGTTTTTGTTTTTTTTTTGTGTGTGTTTTGATGTCACTGGTTTTCGCTGTCGGCTTGGCCTTAGCCAGTTGTACATGTGTTCAGGGGAACAATTCCTCGAAATGCCAAGACCACAAAGATGGGTCCCTCCCGCCAGAGCCGTGTGAAAAGACTCACCAGTGCAAAGCTGATTACCAGGTTTCAGAAGAGCTGGTGGTGCAGGGTTGTGATCATATTAGATACTGCAGAGTAAGAGATGAACATGGATGAACTCTGTCAAGGGCCAAAAGCTTGAGCACTCCAATGTGCCTTTGACGAGAAAGCAATGCACTTTTGATGTGGTTGTTAGGTTGTTGCCATACATACTTGTCATTGGCTGTCGGGTCAAGTTTGAAACTGGATTGTTCTTGTTTGATGTCTTTTCTGTAGCCATGCCCTGCTGTATTTATTGATGTATATAGATATAGACGCTATGATCAATTGTTCACACTTTCATGAATCAGATCAATGTATGATGTGTTTCTGAGAATACCGAATGCCAAGTAGAAACCCAGCTTGTGCATCAAAGAACACAGCGAGGCATATTCCATCAACAACTCCTCGAATGCCCTTCAGGAAGGCTGGGACAACGTCATAATAGAATAGAGTTGTGCCAAAGACATCAATGCACACTATTTGCACGCATTTTTGTGTCCACCTTTGCAGAAAAGCAGCAGGAGTCTGAAGATGTCTGAAGGACCTCAACAATTACCGTAAGCGATTCTGGCCATGCACAAAGCAAGTTCAATCAAAACAATAATCTCATGGAAGCGAAACAAATGCAGCGGACACTCATGGTGGTCATTTTCAAGGCATTGACAAATGCATAGAGAAAGGGTCCCAAGTTAGAAAACAATCCAACACAGAGGAGAGAAAAGAACACGAATAAATCCAGAACCATGTCATCCTGGTGCCTGCGGTGCCCGGTTCTTTACTTTGAAACTTTGGTACTCAATGTTAGCATCAAATGACCGCCTTGACCACAGAAATCTTTGCTTCTTCAGGTCCATTCTCATAAGCCCACTTAGCTGCCGAAGCTGGAAGGTGCCGAATCATACGTTGAAACGAAGGTGCCGACGTGACAAAGATGTGTGTGTGTGTGGTGACTGGCGAGTTCGGCACGAGGAATTGTGTGTGTGTTTTTCAGTATATATATTCTAGGTCTTTTGCAATACTATGAGGAGCTTGACACGGAATCATGGAACTACTAACTACCCTTTGCTGTGACCAAATCTGTTTCAGACATGTTCAGACCAAATAAATCCGTCATTCGAGGTTCTGGACACTGCTTTGACCTTCATTTACTCCTCGCGAATCTCTTGTGATTTCAGTGAGGACCCATTCTGCTTTGGTTCAGGGATGACAGCTAAATGGCGGCCTTGAAGGGTGTTCATTAAACACAGAAGGTTAAGCCGGCCTTGATTTTTCATGTTTTCAGCATCTCGTCAGCAAAGAACTTGTGCCGCTTTGACCTGCTCTAGAGCTAGCTTGGCAAGACGTAACCTGAGCAACACCAGCAGGAGCAGCACGCCCTTTGAACTGCATGATCCCAGCTCTTTTCCAATGTGGGCGGACGCGTCCAAGTTCATCGACTGGCCAAAGCTTAAAGCCACCAATACCAGCTACAGGCTTGTTTGCTGTCATGTCAGGCATAGGTCCTAACAAGCTGGAACCATGTGGGAGGACAATGCTGCATTATGGCGGTTCATTTGCTTTATCCTAGCCCCTTGCAGAAGACACACAAATAGCAAATACAGTATGATCACTGGGTGGCTCCTTCCGTGGCCGGAAACAAGACCCATTGGGGTCGTTCAGGCGACACATGTTTGCATAGAGGTTCCACAGATCGTGTCCCATGATTTCCCAATATTTCCCATATTCGTGCTACTAGGTTGTAAGTTCTAGACCATTGTCCAGACAGAGTACCACAATGTTTAAATGTAGCAAGTAGCAAACTCCTTCCAAAACGCTGAAACCCAGGGCAGAAGAAAAGCTACTTCCTGCAGTGTCGTCCTACCAGTCACTCTTCCGGACTCGAGAAGCCCTGCCAGTGTCCAACCTCCAAGTCTCCTAAGTCTACACAAAAAGGAGAACATCGCCCAGCCCAGCCAGCAGTTTTGGAAAATGAAGCGCCCATCACATCCCCTCACTGCGTCAGGATGGCTTCTTGCTTTGGCAGTTGCTGTGCCTTTGCAGCAGCTACCAACTCCCAGAGCCGCTCTGGAGGCGACGCCGTCGCATTGCGACGCGGCTCGCGCTTCACCGTCGGCGACGTTTTTTCCACGTTTCACAACTTCGCTTGGGCGTTTCATTCATCAAGGCCTGGTCAGATGTATTTACTTTGACCATCCCTCATCAGAAGAGTTCCAAAGAAGTCACGTGAAGAACACATGGATGGCAGCAGTTCCCATTCTGCAGGTACGCCAGATCAGCACTTCTTCGGGTGCTCGTGGATTCAACGTATGGCGCCTGGTTGGGTTGAATTTACCAAACTAGCGCTCGAAAGATTGTGGAGACTGGCATAGGCACAGGCGGTCTCACCTACATGGAGCATCGGGAAGTGAAATTTGACATGATACTCTACGCGCTTCATGGACATGTTTACGGCATCCAAGACAAACATGGACAAATTTGCAGACATACTTGTGCCCCCTCAGGTTTGCTGTGGTGACCCCATTGCTTTTGGAGGCGCGACTGGGGCACATCGCACAAAAACTTTTCAATCTACTATTAGTCGAAGCTTTACATCTAGTCGTGAGGGTGGCTGCTTTCATCCCGCTGATGAAGATGTCAATGCTTTTCCAAGTTGAGTGTTTCACCTACCATCGCTCAGATCCACTATCCATATCATTTGTATCCATATTTGTCCATTATGACCCGATTTGACAACATATCTTCTTTTGTTGAGAGCTAGCTCTGCAAATTACGAGACATCATGGGTGACACAAGGAAGGTGCACACGGACAAAAGATATCGCTGAAAACTTGAGAACTCCTTGCTTCCTCCCAGGCCCGAGATGAGGTTGGTTTGTCAGATCTTGAGGTGTGGTCGTCTCACGAAGTTGAGAGATCATCTCATGAATGGATAGCCAAGCTTGAAGGACACCGAAAATGCAATCGATTTTTGGATGGTCAACGCCAATGATGTTCATGATTGGTTGACGGCAGGTTCATGTTCTGGACTTGCTATGAACTCGTAGGCCTGCTTCGCGGCGCACACGTTTCTGCAAAGTCCAGAGGCCATCTTGGCAGTTCGGGAACAAACTGTGGCAGAGCGGCTATAGATGGTCTTTGAAGCCAGCAGGTTGGAGGCCATCGCTACTAATTAGGGTGGAGGCCATCACTACTAGTAGCAAGAAGCTACTAGTAGACATTTATAGTAGACATGTATAGACAGTCTTGAATCTGGTTTGGGTCAAACGTGAGCTCTGCCAGGTGGCACTGCGCAGTTGCGAGCAGCCTCAGGCATATGGTCGCTCGTGGTGGGTCAAACGGTCGGTTGTGTCCAGTCCGTTTGTGAGACGAGGCAAGCACGACAAAGTACAGGCAGTTGCTGCTGGTTGTGAAGGATTTCTCGAAGCTCACTTCGCCGGCCCCGCGGGTTACGAGTTCAAAATAGTTTCAGCCCAATGGGCACTAAAGTAAAGCAGGAATTTGGCCATGGAAGATGATGACCTCTCATCATCGCAGTATTCAGGCCACGTTACAACTTGACTTTGGCTTGGCTTATTTGTCTTGACATGACAGTCTGTCAATTGAAGACATGCCGAGGTCAATTTGTTGTTGCAAATATTGTAAATTGTATTGGATGCTTGACTTTCATGTTGGTTTAGCAGCAGAACACACTCATTCGGGTCGTATGCATGTGTGAAGAGTTCTCAAAGCGTCAAAGAATGATTTGAACCCTTTGATGTCAGTACCTTTGTACCAGGAAGGCTGACAAATCCTGCCAGGGGCAACTATTGTCAGTAAATGCGGAACGGAGGTTTTGACCAGCTTTGTGTCCCTGCGCAAGGGTGTTCGTTTGAAAGTGGTCGTCAATCCCTTTGCTCATGTTCTAGGGGTTAGGGCAAAACCGTGTTGCGAGAACATGGACACTTGCATCTCCCACCAGTCAACCAAGTTGATGACCTACTCCATAAGGCCTTTTATATTCAGACTTCACTAGCACCACCCGTGTCATTCTCTTGAAGCGAAATTGCCGACAGGCTTAGATCCAAGCACTGCCAAGGAAGCAACTGACCTGCAGTACTGTTATGCAAGTTGTGTGGTCTACGAGAGAGGATTGTTTTCTTCGACCAAGATCTTTTCAGCAGTTTTCAAGCGGCCATAGTGCCACAGTGTGCTCTCAATGACTCGCAATCGACAAATTGAAGGTGAAGTGAGGGCTTGACGACACTGTGGTTCCTGTTCCTTGTAGAACCGGGTCAGCCAACCAATTAGTTTTACAGTTTCAGACACCGGATAAATCCTTTCCTACATCGTCATCAGCGAAGCCAGGAACAGTTCGAAGTGAATTGTCCTTCCGGTGCTTTCCATGCTTTTTCGTCAGCCACTTAGGCAGATGCAGATCATTGGGAGATCAATGTCACCACCTTGGAAGAACTCGTCGTCTCCCCAGAAACAGTGAATCTCTGCCTGCGCTTAGAAGCAAGGCGCTGCAGGCTGTGCAGGGAGGATGGTCATCCGCCGGCGCTTGGTGTGTACAGAAGAAGCAGAAAAAATCACCATTTTATGGAAGATCCCTGCAGGATCGCCGGCCAGGGTGGGGGGCGATTCCATAGGTAAATATCCAAACCAAGTAATGTTCGGATGTGTTCAGGTAGCAAACGCACTAGACCGTCCAAAAAGTTAGGGGAGACGCATCAAAATAAAAATAAAAATGCATCAAGAAAGGAAGAGGAAGCAAGCAAGCAAGCAAGCAAGCAAGCAAGGGCATGGAAGGATGGAAGGAAGGAAGGAAGGAAGGCTGTGAAATTGAAATGCGATGTTGCAAAGCTTTGCCCAGATGCCCAGCACAGAGACCATTCCAGTTATCAAAGGAAGATTCATTGGGGAAACTTCATGATATTTGTGTTTTGGTCGTGCCAAGTTACATTGCGGGGGAGGCGCTGCGCCCTCCCCCGCGCCCCTCCCGCTTTTAATTGTTGAGCGTGTTCATTTCATTCATTTCATTTGTTCATTGACTCATTCATCCTTTCTTCCTTCTTTCTTTCATTTTCATGTTCATTTCATGTGATTTTACAGTTTGTGTTTTTTTTGTTACTTTGATCACTGCTTCGAATGGATTATTGTTCTTCCCTCTGCACGTTTGGGTCCGTTTATTTTTGTGTTTTCTTGATCACACTGAAATATGTTTATTTTTTGATGCATTTATGTTTTTTGTTGATCCCCCGCCCGTTAATGGAATATTGCTCTTCCCTCTGCACGTTTGGGTCCGTTTACGGTTTTAATGTTTTTTTTGATTCATTTTGGTGTTTTTATTGATCCCCTGAAATATATTTATTTTTAGATTCATTTTTGTTTTTTTTTGATCCCTCGCCCGTTAGTCCCTGCATTTGAACCGACACTGATGAAAGAAGGTCGCTGGACTTTTTAGGGAAGTTTCTGGAGGCCATCGCTAGTAGGTTGGAGGCCATCGCTCATAGGTTGGAGACCATTGCTTCTAGGTTGGAGGCCATTGCTAATTATTAGGTCGCTTGACTTTCTAGGATTCTAGGGAAGTTTCTGTTTGCCTGGAATATCCAGGCGTCTCACCTGGAGTTGAGGTGCTTTTGCTGTTTAGTACAAGTGGGTGAGAGGACTTAGGGGTTCACCATGGTTCACCTGTGAAGAGATTGAACTTCGAAGCCAAACCGAGACGCAAATGGATCATGGATCCAACTTGATCCTCTTTTAGCGGCCCATCTGTGCACTGTTCATGTCCATTTGGGTTCCATAATCTGAAAGCAAGATCCGGGAAGCCAGCACACCACAAGGGATATCTTTTTTTCAAGTCCCTTCATCCTCTTTATATAATACTGTATAAGTTCGAGTTTCACGGTGGCAGACTTTTTTTGGCACGTTTCTTGTAAGCACTTCAGCTAGGCACACATCGGAGTTGCCCTAAGCACCAAGGGATTCCAAGCAATCCAACAACAATAAGCTGGGTAAGAGTATAGCTAGTGATGCTAATGGGCAGTGACTTATGCAGACAGATATATAAGTTACTTATGTATATTATGAAGTACCTTCAAAATGATTCAAAATGTGTGACGATTACGATTGCCCAATGCTCCAATCCCTGGCAAAGGATACGGGACTCACAAATTTGACAATGTAATAGCTGCACATCCAAACTTCTGACCGTACCTAATCTAAACATTGCAGTATATATATAGTTATATAGCATGTTCTTCTTTTTTGGCGATTCCATCGCCCAGACTCCATGTTCTTTAGGCCCACGAAGCGTTTAGCCGCAGTTGCACTGAGGAGAGATATCAACAATACTTGGAAGGTCTATGTTGATGCCTTTGAAAACGAACAGTCTGCAGGCCAGATGTTTTTTGTCAGGTACATGACAGAAGATTGCCAAAGCAATGCCAAAACTTATGTTTTGTTTAACAAAAGATGGTATGTGTGTGGTTCTTGGTGAACATGTGTATTAATTAGTATTGCGATTTAAAGACGACGCTGCCGTCAAGTCCAGATGAAGCGTGTCTCATCGGGTAATCCAACCGTCCCTTTGAATCACCTCCTCAAGATACACAATCAGCAAACCATTCCAAACGCAAGTCTATGACCTATTGTGCGGTATGTCCATATTATGTGCTCCCTAGTGGCGTCCTTGCTCCTACTAGCGATGCCAGATGCCCCTAGTAGCTTCTTGTTCCTAGTAGCTTTTTTGAAAACGTGCTTGATCGATCTTGATCGACTCTTCAAATTTAGGCAGAACCTCCGATCGCTTTGCACCATACACAGCTCATTTTGTCACTGTCATTTGCTTGGCCTGAAATGTCATTTGCTTCTGCTCTAGGCGAGGCCATCTTCCACGCCATCTTCGAAGCTGCGCCCTCCTTGCAGGGGCTCTTCACTGGTCCCAAGGGTGTGCACGCGATGAAGCCCTTTAGCTGAGCAAGGTAAAAGGGAAATTGTGTTTTTTTTCTAGGGAGTTTGGACAGTGAAACTTATGTTTCGAAACGATTGATTCAATGTACCGTCACAATTTGCGAGCCGCTAGCGTGACAGCTACCGTCTCACATGTCCAGGAAGAGTCCCTGCTAATGTTCGCCTTAGAGACGGGAACGCTCACGTTCCAAGGTTTGTGGTTGGCATCACAGCGGTGATCGCAAACCTCGGCCAGCCGGGCAACCTCAAGGTAGAGGCTGGGGATGGCCCACAGGATGGGCCTTGACATGTCTCAGTGGGGCGCTGAAGATTGCTAGGGCTCATGGAGGCTGTACATGGCTGCACAGTCATCAGTAGAGGCACCGATCAAGGACGAGTATTTGGAGAGAAGGGGCCGGGTTATCCATGATTTTCCCGCAACATGGAGCTTCGGTCACTGGCTTTAAGGTGTAGGAGGATGGCCTGGAATTGGTAAAGATCTTTTTTGTGGTTTGTGTCCTGTTTCACCATCAAGGACAACACCCAAAAAGACACGGACCGGACCACCAAAATATGTTCAATTTGTGTGTGTGTGTGTTTTGAGTGTTTGTTGTTTTTAAGGAGCAACTTGACTTGGTCAGCACCCATTGCCTCGCACCCATGAAAGTCCCGACCAGTGCTCCGTTCAGGTAGAGACTTTGGCATTCGCACATCTGAACATAGCCACTGAGCAATGCTTTTTAGTCTTTTTTGGCCGCGGGGGGGGTCGGCCGCTAAGAGGTAGTAGCTAGTAGAAGCTAGATAGCTAGTAGCTGCCTTAAGTAGCTACTACTAAGGGCGGCTAGTAGCCGCCCGGGAGCTTCCTTGAACAAGCGCTCGCACTATGCATTTGGTTCCCGGATTTTTAGGGAAACTGAAGTGGTGAGCATTTGAAACACGCTTAATGCTGGTCAAGCATGGTCAAGCGAGGTCGGATACTACAGACCCCACCGGAGAAAATAGTTGGAAAGATAATGAATATCCTGTATTATCAAATACTGTGGTATTGAAATGTAGATGCTGAAATACAACATGCAGTCACTCACATGCAATAACATGCAGCTGATGCAGTTGTTTTCCTGTTTCATGCTTTGATATTGACGTCGAGGATGTGACTATCCCTCGAGTTGCATTATTCCGAGATGCGGTGCTCGACCTTTTTGAATCTGAATTGGGAGAGGCATTCACATCTTGGGCAAGAGAAGGATGGGGGCAACTCTTGTCTTACATTGGAGGTGCACTGATTTGGGTGCGTGCCACTTGGTGCAAATATCAATGATGTTCGCAGAATGTTCAGGATCAAAGTAAGATCATTCAAAGATCACTTAACCCCAGACTTG